AGTGATTATCATTTCTGGGACAGTTTGAATAGAAACGTGTAGAAGAATAACCATCACACCACCAAAGTTAACCAGAAGATAATAATGTATGTAATTGCTTCTGTTTCCAAGGATAATTTCAGAAAGTGTATAAAATCTTGTTTATGCACCACATATGCACAAGCAGGTCACTTCAAGCAGTTCACAGTCAGTGTCACATGTAAGGAAAAATTGGGTACTTCTGTCTCTAAGGTCACCTAGCTAACTCTTGCACTGCTATTGCAAATACCACATTTCCATCAGAACTGAATTATCTGTATTAGAAGATCTGTATCCCTACCAGTGGAAAAAGTACGTAGGTCATACTGAAAGTCATGAGCAATTTTTTTTGCATGCAACCTGGGAATAGCAGACGAAAGAGAGTATGGTGGTAGGTGGAACCAGCTGTTGTGTTAACCTTGGGTGTCTTGTGACATTAATAGCTTGCATCACGTGACCAGTATCACTCCTAACAAAATGGCCGACAACCATATGTCGTTTCGCCAACGTGCTGTCATCGAATTTCTTGTGAAAGAGGAAATCCCTGCTGCAGAAATTTGTCAGAGACTTCAGCGTGCTTATGGAAGTGTGTGCATGGGTGCGAGCAGTGTTCGAAGATGGGTGAAACATTTTAAAGGTGGGAACACCAGCATCGAAGATGAGTCTCGGAGTGGTCGTCCTTGAACAGCCTCAATTGAACGCAACATGGAAAGACTGGATGAGATCATTCAAGATGACAGGCATGTGACTGTGGACACAATAGCATGAAAACTTGGAATAGGGCACAGTGCAGTACAGGAGATGATTGAAAGCTTGGGCTATAGGAAAGTTTGTGCTCGTTGGGTCCCGCGGTTATTGACCGAAGACTACAAAGGTCAGTAAAAAGCAATCACCTCAGAACTGCTGCAGAGATATCGACACGAAGGCGATGATTTTTTGCTCTGTATTGTGACAGGTGACGAAAGCTGGTTTCACCATTTCGAGCCTGAAACGAAACGGCAGAGTATGAAATGGCACCATTTGCATTCTCCATAAAAAAAAAAGGCAAAGACAGTGCCATCAACTGTGAAGGTGATGGGCACAGTCTTCTGGGATGCAGAGGGGTTTATTCTAGCCGAATTCCTGGAACCTGGGCAAACCATCAATGCTGCTCGTTATGTCCAGACGCTGCACAAGGTCCGTTGTGCATTGTGCGATAAACGTCCGGGATGAAACATCATCATCCTGCATGACAACGCTCACCCCCATGCTGCTCGCCTCACATTGGAAGCAATTGCAAAGGTGGGGTGGGAAGTTCTTCCACACCCCTCCTATAGCCCTGATCTGGGAACCTCCGACTACCATCTTTTCAGATTTGTGAAGGATCAGCTGCGTGGACAACGTTTTGAGACAAGGGAGGCAATTCAGAAAGCAGTGTGTCAGTGTCTTCGGATGGCTCGAACGGAATTTTACAGAAGGGAAATTTTCAAACTCCCAGAACGCCGGGAGAAATGTGTACAAAGAAGTGGCGATTATGTGGGAAAATAAAGAAAGGTCTGTAGATTGAGGTGGTGCATTTGGTTTGTCAATAATAAAGCATGATCCTATACAAGAAATTGTTGCTCATGGCTTTCAGTACAACCCTCGTAAAATAGCTCTTTCAGAGTCAGTCTCCAGTGTGTTATCTATGCAGATGTAAGCAATTAGGAGAACTGACAAAGTGAAACAATAACATCCTCAACACCTGATTAATCATATGTTTTAGTTCTTTTTCACTGTCCATGGCTACAATTAAGAGTCAGGTAACAGTCATCATTCTCTTCACATGCAGTTAAAGAGTCTGCACCTCTAAATAGAAACTCTTTCTTGATTGCACAGCAGAATCCTGAATGCTCTCATAACTCTCATGCAGGGACAGTCATGTCAGATCATAAAGAAATGCCTAATCAAATGGCATGTGTGAGATATATGTTGACCATAGTCCATGATGGCCAAATGGTTGAAAGAGTGAAATCAAGAGGAGTCCACGAAAATAAAAAACCAAATAAAGTGATGGATTACAATATGTATAAACTCGGTGTCAATAAATCTGACCAAATGTTATCGAACTATTATATAAAATCAGCGAAGTCGTGGAAGAATATTTTTTCCATCTCTTTGATCTTAAACTTGTGAATGCTCAGATTTTTCAGTAGAAGTGTACAACAAAATTCAGATTCCATTAGTCCATGGAAAAATTGGAAGAAGGGCTTGTTGCCAAAGTGGGGAGGGAACGGACGGCACTATCACAGAGAAGTTCTGTAGGCAGAGCTCATTATTCTCACAGGATTCCTGCAACACATGCAAAAGAAAAAGGAAAATGCCAATACGCATATAAGGTCTGTGTGGACAGAGGGAAATGCCACACAGAAGTACACCACCATCTACTGCCAAAGGGTGATGTAGGTCTCTTATCTTGGGGCCTGCTCTGAGACTTATCACATTGAAGTTAATTATTGGGACTAGCATTTCACAAGAAATACTGCTACAGCACTTGGATTTGCGAAAGTCTGAAAATGCAACGATTCAGTTGTTGAACATATGTATGTAATACAGGAAGATTGAAATGTCCTGCACATCAAACTGAAAGTTATTATAAATTTTACTGCAGTTAACAGAATTATATCTCCTACCGCTAGATGGTACTGTAGGAATACTAACAACGAGTAGAAACGCCATCTGTCATGTATCGGTCATACAACGTCTGCAGTATAGCTTTGTTCATTGCGTGACAGATATGTCGTTTTCCCAAGAATGAGTTTTCATTTTGAAACATTATTTCGCCAGTCGTTCTTATTCATGTGTCACAGATGAGTTACATAAGGAATATTTGGATTCTGTAATTCCTAACAATTCGACTATAATGAGAATAATTAGCCAATTTGGAGAATGTGGATCAGTATCAGATAGGAAGAGATCTGGGAGAATGGCCACTTCGACTGAGGCTAAACTGGCTGACGTGGAGAAAATGATGCAGCGTTCCCCTTCAAAAAGCCTAAGGAAACCATCAGCGCAAGCAGCGATTTCGTACAGAAGTGCTCAGAAAGCGATGAAGTTACATCTTTGTGCATATCGTGTTCGCTGTGTACAGGAACTGAAGGACCTGGATAAAGAAAAACGTTTAGTGTACTGCAGGTGGTTTCGGACATTTGTTGGCAACCATGGAATTGAAGAATTTGATCATGTTTTCTTCACTGACAAAGTGTGGTTTCACCTTAGTGGCTACGTGAACAGTCAAAATAATACGATTTCATCATCTGAAAATCCACATGTGTTACATGATGAGCCCTTGCACTGTCAGAAAATTGGAGTGTGGTGTGCTGTATCACGTCGTTGAATAGTGGGCATAATTTTCTTTGAAACAAAAGTGAACAGTCCAGTGTACCAAGGCATCCATTACACGGTTTATTGCACTTCTTGAAGTTGATGAACATGAGTGTTGGTTGCAGCAAGATGGTGCCACATGTCACACATCTAATGAAATCATGCAGTTCTTGCGTGAGTTTTTCGGTGACCATCTCATTTCAAAAGGACTGTGGCCCTGCGTTCACCCGATTTGTCCCCCGCAGATTTTTTCCTTTGGGGGCACCTCAAAGAAATTGTTTATAAAAACAATCCGCATTTACTGGATGACCTCAAGAGGAACATTATGACTGAGATTAACAGCATTAGTTTACAGGAGCTCCATAAAGTGGCCTCAAACATGGTAAAAAGAGCTCGCGCATGCACTGCTGAACAGGGAAGCCATTTCGAGCATATGTTGTAAAGACATGATTTGATTTTGCATTTCTAAGATGTAAGGTTATAAACATTAATAGTAAGTGCTGTATGTCTTGTAGTTTGTGCATTAAACCAGCAAAATGTAATTGCTTAGTGTGACGTGCGTGACTTCTCGATCTCCCCGTATATGCATAGGTTTGTGTAAACAATTAGTGTGTGCCAATGAGAACTGTAAAAATTTGGAACAACAGCACTCTGTCAAAAATAAATGTAAGCAAAAATATTTTATTCTGCACAAAGGTGTAAGCATATAACTGCGAATATTTCATGGTTCTATCATAAAAGCTAATATAAAATATAGTTAGCAATTCTTTTCAAAGGATGGAGTGGGCAGGGCATGTACCACAAATGGGGGAGAAGAGGAATGCATATAGGATATTGGTGGGAGAGCCAGAAGGAAAGAGACCACTGGGAAGACCAATGTGTAGGTGGGTGGACAATATTAAAATGGATCTTAGAGAGATAGGATGGGATGGTATGGATTGGATTGATCTGGCTCAGCATAAGGACCAGTGGAGGGCTCTTGTGAACAAGGCAATGAACCTTCAGGTTCCACAAAATGCTGGGAAATTCTTGAGTAGCTGCAGAATTGGCAGCTCCTCAAGAAGGGCTCAACTCCAAGAGTGAGTAAGTACCCCTTTAAAACTGCTGGCACATATTAAGGTGAATATTTAAATGGCTCTGGACTTAAAGTGTCAAATCTGTATTGTAGGGTTAAAATACAGCCGTAACTATTTTCATTAATAAAATTAATCAAAAGCAACCACTCCAATCTTGAGATTTATTTTTCTGCATTTCTTTACATATCTAGCGACCTTTTAACTTTACAACATTCTAGAAATAAAAGGCACACAGGCACATTTTTGTCAGGATATAACCTAACCTGCTAACTCAAGACAGGGTAAAGTGGCCAGCACTTATGAATGTGGTACTGAACCTTTAGGTTCCATAAATGTGGGGAATTTCTTGAACCGCAGAGCAACTATTAGAACCTCAAGAAGAACTCTGTTCTAAGAAGTGAGTTAAGGATAAGCACTATTCCTAGATGAGTAATTCTGTTTAAATGAAACTTCAACAACTTACATATTTTAAAACACGCACATGAAATTCTTATTTAAAACAGAATACAATGAGTCAGAACTACTGCTTTAGAGAAATGAACTGTTAAGCATTTCCAACTGTACCTGTACTCTGCTACTCTACCAGCATGTTTTTCCATGGCTGTTGCAGAAGACATGCCATAGAACAACTTAAATTTGCGCCCATTGCGCTGGATAACATCACCCCCACACTGGTCGTGTCCAGCAAACATTCCTCCAGCCATCACAAAATCCGCCCCTGCTCCAAATGCTTTTGCAACATCACCAGGGCACGTGCAGCCTCCATCCTGCAGTTGCATACATTTCCTCTTATCCACTGAGAGGTACAGTTATCACATGACATGGTGGTGAAGACAGAAAACCCCATGACTCTAGAATGGCTGTCCAATCTGCAGCCCACCATTTAACTGATGTGCTATCATTTTATTGGGTGTACTTGGTTTTGATCACATAGAGAAAGATCATTTATTCTCTGTGAGACAAATAATCTGAACACCATAAAGTAAATCTGTAATTATAAAAACTGCATCCTACAAAGCAGGAAACCAATGATTTCACTGCAATTTAACACTGCTACAAATTTCAGAGTGTACATTATGTGTAAACTGCAGCTCATTTCAATAAACAAATCTGTAGTTACTCGTACAAGACACTAATTCTGCACAGGATTGGAACAAGCCTAAATGCTGCTGCAAGTAACAAGAAATTCCACCTCAGTTAAAAACAAGTAGTGTTTCCCAAATCTTTGTCACAATTAATACCACAAAATTTCTGAACAATGATGAAAACCATTACTGGTGTTGTAGTTCTTAATATGGGGTCCTTCTTTAGTAACTTGATGGTTAATATGGGTTTTTTAGTAACTTGATGAGTCTATGGCTCTGCACTTCAAGGCGAGCGGTGTGCTGCTTGCTGTGAGGACCATGCAAATTTTGCCAATAAATCAGCATGCCTGATGGCCAAAAACGTTTGGAATGAAGTACAGTAAAACTTGGTTATAGCAACATCGGTTTCTGCGACACCTTGTCTATTGCGTCAAATATTCAATGGTACGAACTAATTCCTCATAAAGCAACTGTTTTTATACCTTGCTTAGTACGACATGCACAAATGCATCAACCTCGTATGTAACGTCATTTTCATTCCTGAATTTCTCTGAGATGAACATTGAACGTAATTTAGAAAGTGTGTATTGGGCAAGTAACAGGAAACAGATGAAGATAACTGATTACTGTACTCGTATCTAGGTACAGTAAGGCACAACAATTGATGTAATCTACTGTAATTTGGTGAGTAGGCCTACCTTTAATATACAGTATTAGTGCGGTGTGTATTGTCAGTGAAAAGCGCTGTAATATGTCTTTGATATTACACATTTGGGCAATTCCACGTTCATGTTACGTTAGTCTGTACTTAACTACGTACTTCACTAAAAAATGCAACATTTTAACTCTGTTTTTGGTAGATTTTTACGTGACTAACATAAGGCTACTGTGGAAGTGCCTATTTCGGTTACGACATTCGTTTATAACGACATTATTTTTAGGTCCCTTTGATGACGTTACAACCAAGTTCTACTGTAGTTAACAATACGCAGATCACAGGTGTTGCTGAAAATGCTGTCCTCTCTACATGCAGATATTTTTCACAATTAACTGTTTCATTATAAAACATAGATACAACAGTCCTTCTTGCACTTACAGCACACCAGACACCAACTTTCACTGGATGGCTTCAGAAACTATGTTGCTATTCTTGCACTAGACTTTGACATGCCAGTCTCCTGAACTAGACATTTCAGTGATATTCTAGGTGTATGTTAAAGTCTGGCCCTGTGTTATCTAACTTCGCCTCAGTAAGCACTCAATGCTTATGCTTTTGTTTCTTGTCTATTATGAGTGCCATTGTTCTAAGTTTATTCATCAAACTGTGAACTGTTTGTCTGCTGGAAACTCTTTCATCATACAATTTATGACAAAATTTTCTCCGACACTTTCTAGTAGATTCGTATTTCATGTAGGTGTCACGCAAAAATACACATTACTCTAAGTATAAAAAAAAATAATGGAACACGCTGCTCACTAACTGTAACTGAGAACAAATGGCTAATGGAGTTGATAACGGAACTGATAACAGCTGACAAATCATAAACAAACTCTCACAAATGCACTGCACTGCTAGCTGTGAAGCACAATGCCATCAAGCAGGCTACAAGTTAATTATGTCCCTTCATTCCAAACATTATTGGCTGATTCATCGGCAAAATTCATAAATGGCAAGCAGCACACTGCTCACTGTGAAGTGCAGAGCTGTGAACTCGTCAAGTTACAAGAAAAAACAAAAGACTCTGGATAACTATATTTATATTGTGGCGTAACATGTTTTGATTACTGCAAATTTACTGTCATGATAAAACTGTAGCAGACATTATCATAAAAAAATGTAGAATGTGCTGCCCTTGGTGGCTGCTTGGTTGCCCTGTGCCATTACATGGGATCTCATTCTGAACCATTATTACTTTATGTGTACATAACGAAAAGCAACAAAACTGTATTCAAAGAACTGTGAAACATATCCTTCAAAATAAAATTTCATTAGTATGAAATTTTTTTAGACTCTTTACTGCTACATGTACTACGTATCATATTTGCAAGACCCTAGTAATGAATGAATGAATGAGGAGTGGGTCATAATAATCTGGCCCCTTGCACCATGGTCTTCAATGATCTATTGTTCTTCCTCTCTTGAGTAATCCTTTATTAATCCTACACTTCAAATTAAATTTAGACTCTGTTTATGGGGGCGTCACCTGGTTCCATAAAGAATTGGCTCATGTGATGAAATCTTAAATAAGCTATGGCCTCACAATCACATAAGATAAAAACGCTAGTACAGAAAACTCCTGATTATGTTGATTAACTGCATAACTTAAAGAACCCCTTAGTTACTGATTATAGCTTCCTGTAATGAATGATTTAAGTAGACTTGAAAGGATTCTGACGATGGTATATGCTGTACAGAACTATAAGGCTTATTTTGGACTCTATCCAACATCTGGTGGTTTTCTGTCTTATATACAGAGTGTCCCAGGAGGAATGGACCAAACTTCAGGAGGGTGTTCCTTATGTTAAAGTATGCCGATATAACCCAAAACACCTACGTCCAAAGTTGAACGGTTACGGAGATAATGGCCAGAGAAGTGTCAAACTTTGACCGGTGTTACACATTTGTTGATTACCAAATACATATTAAAACTGGCAGGAATATGTGGATTCTGTAATGTTAATAATGTATGTAACATCAAACTAACTTGTGAGTGACGTGAAGCCATAAAATTGAAGTACGAAATACTCGCTCGCCATGTCATAATTGTCCTTAGGGTTTCCAAGCACTATACATGACACATGACTGGTGAGCGATGACATAATACTGCTGTGCTATAAGCCGACCACATAACTGTATTATACGTACATTCACAGAAAATCTCTTTTGGAATTTCGTTTCCATTATCTCATGTGGATTATTATGGAACCACGTATGCACATTTCGTAAATTATTTACACCGTCCAGGGTAAAAGACGCCTCATCACTACACATGACACATGAATGGCAAGCGCTGGTGTAACATGACTGACTGCATATTCTGCTATAAGCCAACTACATAAGTATTAAAATACAGTACCTGCTTTATAGTAATTGTTCAAAGTGTCCTCCGCCAGCTGCAATGCAGTTTTCGGCACGCATCATGAGGGATTGGGTAGCAGAAGCAATGTTGCCTGAATGGTGACGTATGTGCTCTGCCGCTGCAAAAATACGATTTCGCAGTGCTTCTCGTGAATTGACCTTAGTTTCGTAGACTAAGGTCTTCATGTGGCCCCAGAGGTAATAATCTAGAGGCGTAAGATCTGGCGACCTCGGTGGCCATGCAATGGGACCACCACGACCTATCCAGCGGTTAGGGAAGGATTCATCTAAGTAGTGTCTCACGTGCTGAGTATAATGTGGAGGAGCCCCATCATGTTGGAAGTACATTTTCCTCCTTATCGTTAACGGGATGTCTTCCAACAAACATGGTAACTCATTCCTTAGGAAGGCTCCATACGTGTTTCCAGTTAAATTGTTGTGAAACACAAAAGGTCCGATCAACCTGTTCCCAAGCACACCACACCATACATTCACAGAAAATCTCTTTTGGAATTTCGTTTCCATTATCTCATGTGGATTATTATGGGACCACGTATGAATATTTTGTAAATTATTTACACCGTCCCGGGTAAACAACGCCTCAACACTGAATAAAATGACGCTTAACAGTTCGGGATGAGCTTTTATCCAGTGGCAGAAATCCATACGCTGAGCATGGTCGCCTGGTTCCAGATGTTGTACCCTTTGATCATGGTAAGGATACAGGTCTTCATCATGTAAAGTTCTCCACACCTGCATACGTGATACGCCGATGTGAGAGGCCATTCTACGAGTGGACAGACGCGGACTTCTGTCAACCATGCCAAGAATGTTCTCTCGTGTGTTTCTCATTTGTACATCCTCCCTTTCCGACTGCACAGAAACACTCGGAAGAGAACCAGTCTCACGCAATGTCTGGTGAATTCGCGTAAATACATGTCGAGATGGAATCCCTCGATCGGCAAAACGCCTTTGGTACTCTTCAACAGCAGCACGTGCATTGCCACCGCAAAATCCATACACAAAATGCATATCACAATACTCAACGTGTGAAAACACAAAAGGCATTTCAGCAACACCGCACAAGTACACATAATTTACTAACCATTCACGACGCTGACGCAAGATACACCGTAAGTCTCTGTAAGTAGCGCATGAGATTACGGCTAGCGTGACATCACCACACTCAAGGACAAACAGATAACAGTCACAGCTGAGAGGTACAGTGCGTGGACCCGCTAGAAGAACACACTTTTCTCGGGCCATTATCTCCGTAACCGTTCGACTTTGGACATAGGTGTTTTGGGTTATATCGGCATACTTTAACATAAGGAACACCCTCCCGAAGTTTGGTCCATTCCTCCTGGGACACTCTGTATATACCAGACGATGGATAGAGTCCAAAATTAGCCTTATAGTTCTGTACAATGATTTAAGTGTTGACCACTACATCTGTTTCAATAATACATATCAGTGATACTTTACAATAATATGAAGTAGACTGTACATCTACTCACCCTGTGTAATTTATTGTTTTACTGCTTTTTGGGCAAGCCTACTCCCACTGCAAAAGGCATGCAGTATTCTATTGGAAAGATACTCCTCTCATTGTTTAGTAAGCAGTAACTTGACCAGTAACAGATTTTAATTAACCAAGCTACTTCTCCCTCCATTACCAAGGATAATCAAGAGTTTGCTGTACAAATGACTATTTTAGCTTTTCAGTGCCAGCCACCAAATTTCTTATAGGTGCCACTAACTTATGCCACAAATACTATAAAACTATCCTTGCTGATTGTATTACATAGTAGAGTCCATCTTTTTTCTAACATAATTAATACTGAGATTATTTTGATGTAAATACATTGATTATAATTCTCTACTTTGAAAAAAGAATGGTAGGCATTGCTAAGAAATGGGTTGACACACTGCTCTTGAAGCATAAGAAAAAAAACCTGTGCCACTGGGTCAAAATTACTTGCCCAGCTGTCTGCATGCACACATGCATACACGTATATTCTCTGTCTCTCAAATATTAAGGAACATATTAACAACCTGCATTTTGATCATTCTTACACTTTTCTATTAATAGCATTATATGTTTCAGCTGACAGAAACAGTTCATATTAAAAATAGAGCAATAAAAAATAATGGTTCTCTTGGCAGATGCCTTGCTAAATGGACAATTAGATGATCTGCTGGATGAGTCATTGAGCTGTTTGGGAAGATGGCTGTGGTGGCAGACAAGAATGGATTGGTTGAACAAATCAGCCATATTGAATTTTGCATTCAGAAGTTGATGATATAATTTCAATATATTTGCCGGACATGACTTCTTCAAAGAATAAGAAGTTCTGGGAAGAACCGGTCACCTCGTTCCTTTTATATGACATGGACTGCATATAAAACAACATATCCAATAGTTATTATATTGTTGTGTATTCACTGTTGTGGGGATGTGATCACCAAGCAGTTGTCTAGCAATCGAGCCACTGCCTGGCAACAACCAAACAACAATGGGGGTGGGGGGAGGTACACAGACATCAAGGCAATCTCAAAAGCCTACTTAAATTTTTTCTTTATTTTGAATTAGGAAAGTAGGCTAAAAAAATCATCACTTTTTCATTGCTCCACAACATGTGATGACTTCTCATGCAACAAACATGCAGAAGAAGTTGCATGACCAGGACAAATTTCTCCTTCATTCCTCGCATTCCTCCACCACCACACATATGAAATTCTTTACTCCCCTCTCGACTGGCCAGCAAGCAATTTGCATTAATGTGAACACCACTAACTGAAACAAGTCTAAATCAATTGATCACATTACAATGAAACATATTTTCTGAACTAAAATATAATGAAGAATACCTATACTTCCCACCACTACTGGCATACAGTTCCAAATATATTGACAGAATATCACCAATATATAAAAACGTTTACATATATTACAAGCAATTACTCTAAGATATTAACTTAATTTACTCACAGAAATGATATGTCCCTGCAGTCCATGTGCAGCATCTGCACATTCAAGAACAGCACTCAGCTGTGGGAAGCCAACACCTGTCTTAATGCGTGTAGTGCATACAGAACCTGGGCCAATCCCAACTTTTACTACATCAGCTCCTGAGAGAATCAACTCTTCTACCATTTCGCCTGTCACCACATTGCCAGCCTGAACACATGACATTAGAAAACAATAAATTTATATACATTTTCATGGCACTGAATATCACTCAAGACTTTTGGGTGGGAATGAGGAAATGGAACCTAGTATGGACACAATAAGAGTGCTGAGGGGAAAGAAAAGAAAGGAAAGCCCTCTTCATGGAATTTTCATTTTCTGTGTGGGTCTCAGGAAGGAACTGAAATTATGAGAAATGACAATCCTTCCAGGACAAAATGTTATTCTGAACATCAGTATCCACCTACATGACTGCATAGTGTCACAACCCAGAAGACCACAATTTTACTTCTAAATTTAACATGCAGTTCAAAGGAGCAAAGTCAATGGCTAACTAAAATGAGGGTAATACACAGCCAATTGCATATCTGAGTACCTGACCATGAGGTAAAGGTAAAAGATGCTAAGCTATCCCTGTAACAGGCCTAGGAAGCCCATTGGTTGAGAGATGTTGAAGTTGTAGACAATCAGTTCACAGATTGGTGGTGAGGATGTCAGCCTTATTCATTGGCCACCCTTTACACCAAGGAAGATTCCTGGTCTGAACACCATTTAAAAGATTCTGAACTTCAATTTACACATTTGAGTGATTAACATTGTTTGCAAAACACTGTAGGAATTTTTTTCCAAAAAGGGTAAGCATATTTGTACATAGCAAATTAAAATATAGCACCATAAACTTAGAAGAATTCACCACTGAAAAAGATATTGAGGTGTGTGCAATTCATCTGCCTATGAATTCACTAGGACAGAAAAAATTTTATATATTGACTATTTATAGGTCTCCATCGGGCAATTTTATAAATTTTTTGGAGACATTAGATATGATTTTACATAAACTATAATGTGAGAGTTATAATATAATTATGTGGTGAAATAAATATTTCCCACCAGAGTGGGCCATAATTGATAAGTACCATAATTGATAATTTTTATTGATATAATTAGAACTGGTAAATGTATATCCATTTATAAATGGACTATCAGATCATGATGCCCAGATGTTAATACACTCAACTCTCGATTATCCGGGGGCGGATAAACCGGTTTGCGGCTTATATGTTGTTTAATATTCATTCACTTTTGTTTCACATGGTGAGTTGTGACACTATTTTCGAACTAGTGTGAACTGAGCTCTGCATTTTTTGGTCCCGTTATGCTAACACAATGTTGTAGGGTAGGGGTGAAAGAATGCAAGGATTTATGGAAAGTTTCAAGGACAGATGGACCCCCGGAGTTAGTCTCTTTGTATCGATCTTCAAGTGCATTAGCAAAATGTCAGAGTGTAAAAGGATGCGTGTTGTGATAAGTATTGAACAGAAACTCGTGTGAACCGGGCTTTGAAATGTTAAGCAGTGACAAAATTGTAAGTTCAGTGGGTGTGCAGCCAGAAGAGCGGGAAGAAAGTGAGAACGAGGAAGATTTGGACCGATGTGGACGCTGCTAGTAAGAAAATATCACATGGTGCTGCTCTTAATCATTTGGAATCCTTACTAGACTATCTTGAGAGTGAAGAGAAGAGTTTATTAAGTGACAAGCTAATATTACGAAGGCTTCATACGGATATCTGTAAAAAGGAAAATGCCGCGAAAAAGCAAACAACAATATTAATTTTTTTTTAAGTGTTAAGTGTGAGTATTCGTAAAAAGTGTTGGATGTTGTTGAACACTGTGATTAAAATAAGTAATTCATACTTCTGTGTAATGTAAAAAAAGTATTACATAGGCCATGAGATGACATAAAAACGAGTTTGAATAAATTTAAATACAGGTAGGCCTACAGTATTATGAAGGTACAGTATTACAGTACTACTTTTAATAAAATTTGTCTTAACTGGGTTTTCGATTAATCGTGATTTCCATCCCCACCATTATCCTGGATAATCGAGAGTTGAGTGTACTACATAAAGTACAGAATCAGGGACAAAACAATATACTTACACAAAACGGATGATAAATAATGATACCACAGCAAATTTTTAATTACGATTAAGCCAGGAAACATGGGAATTAGTCTTTGATGAAAATTACATCAAAAAGAGCTTCAATTTATTTCTAAATATATAATTGAGAATTTTTTACTCTAGTTTCCCTTTAATTCAGAAAAAAAAAGGTATCCGAAAAAATAACTCATGGAACCAGGTATAATGAAAATGTGTAAACATAAACGAGAAATCTACAATGAATTAAGGAATAATAAGACTCCTAATTTTAGAGTTTATTACAGAAACTATTCTAAAATACTGAGTGCTGTGATAAAAAAGGTAAAAAGATTGGAATATGATAAATGTATCCTACATTCCTGAGGCCGTGCCATAGCTCAAGCGGTTAGTCACTGGCTTCGCACCATGGTGGCCTAGGTTCAATCCCGGGTCTGGTCAAGTGGGATTTGTGGTGGACAAAGTGGTGCTGGGGGCAGCCTTTCTGTGAATACTTCAGTTTCCCCTGCCAATCTTCATTCCACCAAATTCTCCACCATCACAATCACCCAGGGCAGGCTACAATAGGCCAATCAATGGCCGCCATGCCGAGTGGACCCAGTTGGATTCCACCCCCCACTAAGCGAATAATCCTACATTCCCACAATAAAATAAAAACGACTTGGGGTATTATAAAGAAATAAGTAGGTAGGAATGCAAATAGGATAGAAATAAATACAGTAAAAGTGATGGTAAGATACTGAATAATCAACATGATATTGTAGGAGTGTTTAATAAATATTTTTCCATTGTTGCTGACAGATAAAAAGACAAGCCAACAGGAATTCCATACCTATGAATGATTCAAAAAACGAAGAAAATCATATGTATTATATGGATCAAACTTTTATAAATTTGTGCCCTAACGTAAACTATAAATGCTCTACAAATGAAGAAATAGTGAATATAATAAAATCTCTTAAATTAAAAAAAGTCGTGTGGATATGATGAGATATCACCCATTATTTTAAAAATAAGTTGGTCATTTATAGTTTCACCTATAAACTATATATGCAATAAAATGTTGAGGGGAGGAGTTTTTCCTGATAGACTAAAATATGCAATAATAAAACCCTTGTATAAGAATGCTGATACATGGGATGTGCCTAATTTTAGACCTATATCACTCTTATCATGTTTCTCAAATATATTTGAAACTGTAACATACAGGTGTATCAAAACTCAATGGCAAAACTTCAGGATCGGACTCTTTATATAGAGAGAAGAAAAAAAGTGTATGACAACATGGTTCCGGAACTGCATAATTACAGAGTTATCCAACCTTTTAGTAACGTTAGTGCAATCTGACACTTCCAACACTGTTGTATTGTTACAGTGAATACGTCTCTAATGCCAGCTAAAACACTCTGGTCACGTATCAGAGGAAATGTTCAAAGTGACCTCCTCCTGCCTGAATACAGGCCTCCGCTCATCGCTGCATTGAGTGCCGCACATGATCAAAAATGCCCTGTGTAGTGCGTACTGTCTGACAGGCTGCCACAGTGAGCTCATGGAGAGTTGGTACATCAGCAACAGCAGTCGAATACACGACAGACTTTGTCCCCACAGGTGGAAGTCCAGGGGATTTAAGTCAGGAGAGCATGGTGGCCAAGCAATTGGTCCACCTCTACCTATCCAACAGCAAGGATAATGTGCATTAAGGTGCCTGCGGGCAGACAGACTGAAATGTGCGGGAGCACCATCATGCATGAAGTACAGCTGTTGACGGGATGCTAGTGGCATGTCTTTCAAGTAATCAGGCAATGTAGTACGCAAGAAATCTGTGTAGTTCTGTCCATTAAGCTTGTCCGGAAGAACGTAGAGTCCCAACAAACAATCACCAACAATGCCTACCCAGATGTTAATGGTGAACCTCTGTTGATGAGATAATTGGATAGTTGCAAGGGGATTTGTGTTTGTCCACAAGCGCTCATTACGAAAATTTTGGATTCTGTCCCTTGGGAATGTTGCCTCATCCGTGAACAACACAACAGCTGCGAAGTTTGGTGTCGCACCGCATTTTTGCAGGAACCATAGGCAGAATGTTACTCTTGCAGGATATCCGCAGGAGACGAGGCTTGTACACGCCGTAGATGATATGGATACAGGAGCTGTTCTCATAGCAGTCTCCAAATCATCATGTGCGGGATATTCTTCTGCAGGCCTAACTGCCTTGAGCTGACTCCAGGACTTTGATCCACAGCGTTGAGTACATCTTCCTCATCCTCAGGGGTTGTACTTCATGGCCGTCCCCGTGTCTGGTGGACATTCGAAACTCCCGTGTCCGCATAGGAGGTGATGGATTCCTTCAAATGTCTTTCAGTCTGGCAATCTGCGCATTGGGTAGTGTTCCTGATACAAGCGAAGCACCTCCGAAGCAGTACCATCGGCCAAACCATACATGTAATGAATGCTCACGAGTTCTTCATTTGTGTACATTATGTTATCACTTCACAGTAGACTGCAAACAACACTTAGTAATCACAGATAACACACATCATACACACCTTTCGGATATGGCTACAGTTACTTAACTAGAGATGACAGGATATCATCTGTGCATTCTACAGGTATTCAGGTCCACATCAAATTGATTCGCAACATGATTACTAGTGTAACAACTGTAACTGGTGTCTCGCAATTTTATTCCGGCAAACAGCACGTGCCGGCGTGCACTCCGTAATTACAGACTCGGATAACTCTGTAATTATGCACTTCTGGACCCATGTTTTCTTCTCTCTATATGAAGTGTCCGTTCCTGAAGTTTTGATACACCCTGTATACAAGAACTTTAGAACATCTTAACAAGTATATCCTAAATACTGAAAAATATGGACTTAGGAAAGGATTAAAAACACATAATGCAATTTACAGAGCTACTGAGATTTTAAATTCTATGAACAACAATTAGTGGCAAGTGTTATTTGTGATCTGGAGGAAGCCTTTGACTGTGTAGATCATGATATCTTGTTGTCCAAACTTAAATTTTATGGTATTACTGGGAAAGATCATGCACTTTATGAATCTTATTTCAGTAACAGATATATAAGAACAGCAATACATACAAGTGATGTGAATGCAGTATGCTGCAAGGGTCTGTATTACGGCGTTGGTTGTTTCTCTTACATATAAACGACTTGCCTAAAATTTTAATTTATTTTCTACACCTATAATTTTTGCTGATAATACTAGCATCTTATTTTCACATTCTAATATAAATGATCTTAACAGGAATATTCTTATAACAACTGAAATCTTAAATGGATGGTTTAGAGCTAATAAATTATCTTTAAACTTTAACAANAATATTATATTTGAGCATCCTGTTACACTCGCACAATATATATAAGATAAACACCGTCTTAAGTGTAACAATTTTATTGTAGTTCTTTCTTCCTTCTCCTCACTCCACACTACATGTTTCGGCCCTAAACGGCCATCATCAGGTGTGTATTCTCACGTAGCTGCTAAAACAGTTTATACAACTAGAAAGACTAGTGATTTTAAATTTTAACAGGCAGTGTAGCAGCTACGTGAGAATACACACCTGATGATGGCCGTTTAGAGCCAAAACATGTAGTGTGGAGTGAGGAGAAGGAAGAAAGAACTACAATAAAATTGTTACACTTAAGACGGTGTTTATCTTATATATATTGTGCGAGTGCAACAGGATGCTCAAATATAATATTGTAAGACACACTGTATTCAATCTGGGGGGCATGTGGTAGCATAGTTGGTTGAGGCACTATGCTACAAGCTGGAAGTCCCGATGAGGTCATTGGATTTTTTCAATTGACCTAATCCCTCAAGCTGCGCTATGGCCTGGGGTCGACTCAGCCTCATATATATATATATATATGCATGTGTGTGTAAAATAATTTAAAAAAAATCTCTTAAAAACATTTTAACACTTTAACACTGAGGTGCTGAATAACTTCTGTTTTTACTGTAACTGTAAATTTAATTAATTACATTTACAGGACAGACTTGGTGAACAATAACCTTCGTAACTGCAAAGCACTCATTCACCTGTTGAGCACCTTCTGGTGATGGTTTCTTAGGACCAAAAAATGTAAACATTTTTATGTAATGAAATCAAATTGGTCACACTTCATTGTGTTGCTGTTCACTAAATGTCAAAAAATGTGACAGACCAGAATGCCTTCTATTACCATAACTGACAGGCTTTTAAAGAAGGAACTATTTTTCAACAATATAAGTGGACTTCCATGAAAGTTCATGTTAAAAGTATTTTTATCTGCAGAATTAAATTAAGAATGCATCTATCAAAATTAGCATCAGTCTACTTAGAGGCAATTAGTAAAACTTGACTCACGATGATAGTATGATTGGGAAAGGTGGCACGCACTTTACGGACGTACTCAACAAAATGCTGAGAGTAACCATTGGCGACATCTAGGCAGATGTAGGTCACACCTGGAATCTCTTTGAGAATCAGTGCTAAACGCTCAAAGTCTCCTTGACCTGTACCAGAACTGGCTGCCACATAATGCAGGCATTCAGGATTGTTTTCTGCAAAGTCCTTCCATTCCTCCAAACTGTAGTACTTATGCAAAGTTGTGAACAGCCCATGCTGAAAGGTTACAATATGAAAACTGTTTTTAGTGTACATTCAACAACCCATAAAATCACAAGCTACACAGCCAAATTTACTTAACTGTAAATATTAACACCCAGAATATTCACATCATCAGCACAGACCAACAGCTGGTTTTCTTGGACCTTCCTAATGGCATATTCTAAAGCAAAGTTGAAAAGCAGTGGCGATAAAGCATCTCCTTGTTTTAGACCATTCTGGATAGGAAAATTATCAGACAAATGTTTACCTATATGGACTTTATTGTATGTTTCTTTCAAACACATTTTAATCAGCCTAACAAGTTTCATGGATACCCCAAACCTTCTCAGAATATTGTACAATACTTCCCTCCTAACTGAATCATAGGCTTTCTTGAAGTCTATGAATAGCTGATGTACTGTCTCATCATATGCCCATTTTTTCTCCAATATCTGACAAACGAAAAGATCTGATCTGTAGTTGATCTATTATGCCGAAACCCACACTGATGATCCCCAACAATTTCATCTATGTATGGACTTAACCTTGAATGAAGAATATTGGATAAAATTTTGTATGAAGTTGATAGCAGTGATATCTCCCAGTAATTACTAAAGTCAGTTTTATCACCCTTCTTGTGAACTGGTACAATAATAGACTCCTTCCACTGATCTGGCAATTTTTCCTTATTCCAAATAGAATCAATTTGCTTATGGATCTTATAACGTAATATTTCACCTCCTGCTTGAATAAGTTCTGCCAGAATTTGATCACTACTTGGCGATTTATACCTTTTCAATTTTGCAATAGCAATTCCAACCACAAAGAGGCTAAGATCAGGTACTAACGGCTCAGCTGTAATCGTATCTTCCGTCATAAATAAATTCTCTTATTCAGCTGATACAACATACTAACCTTTGCAAGGGCCTTAGCAATTTCAAAAGTTCCAACTGTATCCATATTTGAAGCTATCACAGGAATGCCCTTGTACGTTTGTTTCGAATTTCGAAACGTTATCTCCCTATATAAATCAACCTGTAAAGATAAAATCATTATGAGTTACATCTGAACTGCGGGTCTCGTTCAGGGGCAACACCGCTATCCAGATTATTACAATATGCAGGCCATTTCTAACGGGATTTCCAAAAAAACACAACAAGAAAACTTACATCTGCCCTACTCCGCAAAGTGCTCCTCTTCGGTCGTAACAACACATCTTTGAAGTCCAATTTAATTTCATTAATAATATTTGGCATAATGACCCAAACAATGTGAAGACGTTTCCCCTCCTAAACTTTCAATCAAAGTTAAACCACCTCCTCACGTTTCAACCGTCACGCGCTGCACCAGGTACCACGGATTACCACGGACCATTAATTACACACCGATTCAATCGTCACGCGCTGCACCTGGTACCACGGATTACCACGGACCATTTAAAACACACTGATTACTCGTGAACTCGTGAACAAACACGATTCTTGGAGTGGGGCAAAGAGTACAGATCTGATTGATTCTGCCAAAGCTATGTTGTAGGCTATTATTCTGTGCTCAGAATTATGGTCCTTTTCGGTCTCTGTCAATCGTCTGGTATTCTAGAAAGTAGCAAAGAGAACGTTTCGGGAACTGGATTTGTTTCCAGCCTCAGGCGTGTGCGAAAGACACGTACTCTGTTTGGGTCCCTTAGAATAGGTGTCTTCCCTCCAGCACCCNCCCCCCCCCAGGGACGGAAACACGTCGAACTTCCGTAATATCGTGTTTTCAAGTTTCTAGAATACCGGACAATGGACAATACCAGAAAACCCAGTAATTCTGAGTATTATCATGTGCTATTACATACAGGCATCTCATCAGCATTCAAAACTTAGCTACTAATTACAATTTGGGGCTCTGCTGTCCTTAAAACGGTATGACGTAAAAGATATAATTGTCCTTTGCATAATTAAGCACGCCATCAAGACGTATGGCGGAGTGGATGTATTGATCCACGCAATTTTGACCATTGCACTAGTTGGAGGTGTGGTTGGCTTTGTGGGAACATCCCACATATTATCACAGCGCTCACTTTTCACCAGCACGCGCGCTAACCAATCAAATTGTCAGGATCAAGGTCTAGGTCATGTTACAACTGACGGTCAGTCTGTCTGTCTTGGTTTCGAGCCCCATTACTGTCTTGTCGGTCTTGTCTATGTGGGGCGCCCTCTCTGACGAGATGTCGGGTCTGTCATGTGTCAGTCAGTCTGTTTTAATATGTCCACTGTCTGTATTTACATAGATTACAATACACACTTATTTCTTACTTTTATGTACAATATATACAAGGCCTCTGTCCGTCTAAGCTCAGTACAGCAGATTACGCCCTATTTCCAGTATTATTCGCTACCACGGCAGTCTAGTCACTTGAACGGTTGTATGCCTGACCGCCGCCAAGTTAAAGCCTCTTATACTTTCTGTGGCGGGCTTCGCCTTGTCCGATGTTGCGAACATTCTCATTCTCATGATTTTGTATGACTTCTGCTTGTTGCCTGCATAATTTTGTTATAAAGTCATATACGTACGGGATTTTGAATGCCTTGTGTAAATCGCGGACCTGTGTGCGCCTCGGAAAATTGCCAGTGGTGTGGAGAATCTTCCTTTGCAGGCGCTGCAATTTCATTAGATGGGTGTCTGTCGCAAACTCCCAGGCGGGACTAGCATAAGTCATTACAGATCTAATAAGAGCTTTATGGAGGGTCAATTTAATGTTAGCGCTCAATCGCTCACTTTTGAAAAGGGAATATACTCTAA